AAAATATTAAAAATGGCGTCGAATGGTCCAATCATAAGATTGATTTATTCGACAGCCATTTATAATACCGATAAATCAATCTTATGATTGGCCATTTGCAAGTCCAATCAGGACTCGTAACACCGGTCGCGCTTCTCTGATAATCTAGGACTCTAGAGTAACCTAATCGATGCGTCACGCAAGGAGTTGCGCGGTAAATGATGCAATAAAATAGGATATTTTGGTCAATTAATCGTGACGCGACAGACGACGCGTGACGCGCTCAGTGGGAACGCACCCTAAGTATTTCTACCATGGTATCATTGGTATCTTGTATATTTCTTTTTTTCGTGGAGCGATATAAATTGATTCAGTGTCATAAAAGTTGTAAACTATATCATTTATATTTTATAAATATTAAATATGACATTTTTGTTACGAGCTTATGCATTTAATCAAAAGAGACTTTTCTTTAAGGATTTTAATAATTTGAAATACAGTCTGACTCGTATCATACGTAATGATTACAATTTTGAGGTTAGAATAATTTTCATATTAACGCAGATTATCAAAATAGATTACACCCAATTGAAATGTTTTTATTAATATTTAAAAAATTTAAACTTTGTAGAGATGTTCTGCAGCACATATTGTAAAGTTCTTTCATAATGTAAATTCTTTCTCTCAAGATTATCAGAAAACTATAGGAAGAACTGAAATTTATTATGGACCTTTAACAAGACAAATTAAACTTCTTAAACTGTTTTCATTATTAACTTCTTCCGGTGGCTTAATGGTTCAGCCGTTTCTTTATTCAAAAGCTGTGGAGAATGATAATATAGGAGCTGTCTTAGGAATATTTGCATGTATTGGATTTTTCGCTATAACTACTCCTTTATTGATACATATGATAACGAAAAAATATGTAACACATTTGTATTACGATGTGAAAGAAGATGTATACATTGCAAATACTTATAGCTTGTTTGCTCGGACAAAAGAGGTATTTAAATTTTATGTAATTTTATTTATATGTCTTTATATTCCATATAATAATAAACTGTATTTCAGCTTACATTTACACCAGAGGATGTTGTAGTACCTGATGTAACTGGAATGTTTACAAATTGCATTATAAAGAATATCCCTTTATTTTTCGAACAAAAATTTTTCTATGACTCTAGTCATTATGTTCGCATAATGGGATATGATAAACCAATTGATTTTAAATTAAATAACAATCTTAATCGAACAGTCACAATGGACTGTAAAGTGGTGAATTATAAGAATGATTGTAAAAAGGAAAAATAAAAAATTATAAAATAGCACCAAGGCATACTATATTCCTCAGATTTTTCTTACATGAAAAATTTTATACTCGTATATTTATAAATGCTAATTGTGTGTGTGTGTGTGTGTGTGTGTGTGTGTGTGTGTGTGTGTGTGTGTGTGTGTGTGTGTGTGTTACAAAATATTTACATAACACTAAATGTACATAAATTGTATATATTGAAAAACATTCATTATCATTATAGAATCATTAATTATGATGCAAAATATATAAAATTCTACAAATTTATTGAAATTAATAATAAGCTAGAAATGATTATTTGTAATTTGTTACTAATTGTGTATGAATGAAGGAAATACATTTTAAGGAGTTTACTTAAATAAAGTTTACTTAAATAATAGAAATTTAATGAATGTCAAGACATTTTTGAGAACAAACACGGAGTTGACCACAGCAATAAAAGCATTGATGTGCAAATGGATTTAGATGCGATGTAGACAGATGAAATCAGACTACGACAGCGAGTGAGTTTCCTACTAATTGGTAAAAAATACTTTTGATAAAGGTGGTCTTATCGCTAAATGCCAACGCGATAGTGTGACGTTGTCACATAAACGTCATACAGCATATATACAGTCTATGCAAAATGTTTTTATTGAATTATTAGTCATATGGAGGGACTAACTTTTGACTGGGGTAAAACCACCTTAAAATCAGAGTCATAGACATAGCATAAGAGTTTATTTAAGTTTTTTAAAAAGTTGTTAATTAAAAAAGTTTATTTATATAACATATCTGTCCTAAAAGTAATAAGACTAATTCTCGAAAAATCGTTTTATTAAAAATACATTTAATACTTTTTAAAGTAGGATACTTGAGCGTCAATACAGCGATTCCGGCGTTGCTGTAATTCTTCGTAGCAGCACAAGAAGTCATGATTGGAAATGCCTTTCAGAGCACTTGTCGTGGCTATTTGGATCTTTTTAATCGTACCAAAACGGTGTCAGACAACGTTATTGCAATCTTAATATGTTGTCAGGATCAAGTGATCCTAAACAACATTTAAAAGGTTTTAGCCATCGGTTATGATTCGTTAAAAAGTTATTAATAAAAAAAGTTTATTTATACATGTCTGTTTCAAAAATAATGAGGCTAATTCTGGAAAAACCGTTTTATTGAAAATACATGTACAATTTTTTAAAGTAAAATCCTTGAGTGTCAATATAGTTGTTCCAGCCACTCTTCGTAGCAGTGCAGGAAGTCTTGGACCGGACATGTCTTCCAGAGCACGTATTACCGCGCGGCTAATTGGACCTTTTTAATTGTACCAAAATGATGTCCGGACAACGTTGGAACGATTAAAAAGATCTAACTAGCAGCCGCGAGTGTACAAACTTTTTTTATTAATAACTTTTTAACGAATCATAACTAATGGCTAAAACTTATTTATTTGATTCTAACAACATATATCAAGGTCAAGGTCATTGAAGGTTGCTTTCTCTTTTTTCATTTTTACTTAAAATTGTATTAAGCGTATATAAAATTAAAGAAAAATAAAAAAAATTATGATTTATTCACTTTATTTACTTTAATTGTAAATACGTACACTACTCAACAAAAAATAGGGAACACTTTCAAAACGCTCAAAATTGGACAGTATTCAAATCGCTGTAAGTCAAATCGCTCAGTAAAAAATTATCGTAGATAAAAAATTAAAAAAGTATTTTAAAGAGATCGGAAGAGCACA